AGTATTCAGTGTGTTGTTTTTCATTTGATCAGTCACGTAAAACCTAGAAGGGGATGTAATTGTGAAGAGGAGTATTGGTTAACCACTTGCCCTCCAGAGGTTTAACCACCCTTCCTGACCAGGCCAATATTTGCTCTGCGTTACTTTAACTGACAATTGCCCGGTCATGCAACACTGCACCCAAATTAAATGTATGTCCTTTTTTCTCCACAGAGATTTCTTTTGGTGGTATTTGATTGCCTTTGTGTTTTTTATTTTTTCTCTATAAAAAAAAAGCCCACCAATTTTCAGAAAAAAATATTTTTTACTTTTTGCTTTTAAACATGTGTGGTAAAAGAATTTAAAAAATCTAATTTCATCATCAATGTAGGCCAAAATATATTCTGCTACATGTCTTTGCTAAACAAAAACCCCAATAAATGTACATTAATTGGTTTACATGAAAGCTATAGCGTCTACAAATGTATATACTGAAATTTTTAATTTATTTTAAATTCTAGTAATCAGTGACTTATAATGGGACTGCGGCAGGCATTCTGACACTGGGTGGGAAATGACTAACTGCCTGTCTTTGCTAAAAAAAAAATCCCAATACGTGTAAATTAATTGGTTTATGTGAAAGTTATAGAGTCTACAAATGGCGGTATAGGTACTGGAAATTTTTTTTTTCCATACCAGTAATGGCGGCGTCCATCGACTTATAGCAGGACTGACACTGTGGGGGAATTGACTGTCGCTGACATCCCCAGTGACACCAACACAGTGATCAGTGCTATTAAAAAGCACTGACACTGTACTAATGAAACTGGGCAGGAGGGGTTAACATCTGGGGCGATCAAAGGGTTAACTGTGTGCTGTTTCACTGTGTGCTGTGTGTGCTTTACACTGTTCAGATCTGCTATGCAGAGCCATACAAAGCACTGTGCAGGAGCTGATAGGGGAGAGACCTGTATTATTTAGATACAGGTCTCTCCCCCGTCTGTGATATATGGCGGTCGGCAGGTGCTGGCAGGGAATCATCGGCCAGGACTCAGTGACCAACAGGTGAGGCCGCCAATGGCGGCGAGGGTAGGGCGCTCGGGCATGCCCCCTACCCAGAAATGCAAAATCACATATATCTACATGATTTTGTGCACCCCTGCCGCCCTGTAGCAGTTAATGGGACAACGATATTGTAAATAAGGTTTAATATTAATATTAATACATTTAAAGTTATACACTAAAAATATGCATGTATCATACAAACCAGGGCAAGTAAAATTCAGTGTAATGGTGAAGACGTTTATGGGTAACCTGATTAAACATAGACTTGATAACAGAATGTGTTATTAAATATTTAAGAGGTTTAGACTGAAGAAAAGTAATATAATATTGGTCCTGCACAAAGCTTTGGTATGATTTTAACTTCAATATGCAATTTAGGTTTTAGCACCATTGAAAAAAAAAAGACGTTATAGAATTGAAGATGAATTACATCTCTGGATATTGTATAGATAGTTACACTTCTTTAGCTTGGACCAATGTAACTGTTAACTATGTATATACTGGGGATGCACCGATACCATTTTTTTTACAGTACGAATACTGATACTCTTTTGTTTTGTACCTGCTGACAGCTGAAAGAACCGGGCCTGAAGATATCAATTTCAGGTATCAGAGCATTAGCATGAGTACCGATACTGCAAATGCTTAGTATCGGCACCAATACAGATATCGGTATTGGTGCAACCCTAGTATATACCATACCTGGCCTATGCCTAGAAGCTGGAGATTATTGAGGTCTTTTACTAAAGACATGTAGCAGAATACATGTTGGCCTAAATTTATAAAGAACTTTTTTTTTTTTATTGGATGTTTTATAGTAGAAATATTTTCGGTTTGTTCTCATTTATATACAAAAAAAAAATTAAAAACCCAGTGGTGATCGAATACCATCAAGAAAGCACTATTTGTGTGAAAAAATTATATAAATTTTATTTTGGTACAACTTTGCCTGACTGCGCAATTGTCAGTTAAAGTAGTGCAGTGCTAAATAGCAACAAATGGCCTGGTCAGGAAGGGGGTAAAATCTTCTGGAGCTTCAGTAGATATATATATATAATAAATATTAGTGCCTTGTACCTCTAAAAACGGTGGTAGATGCTGTATGCAACAAGAGTCCATGTGCTCACCAGCAATGCTATCATCCACATGAAGACCTCCATGTAGACCTCCAATAGGTGTCTGGGCTTCTCAAGATGCACCTGTATTCTTCTCAGAGTGAAGGATGATGGGATGATTGAAGCCTTGCAGGGGTCAAAACTCTAATAAACTTTTTTAGCCACTAATATAAGGTTGTGCAGCTTAGCCACAAGACACAGTTAGCAGTAATAACAGAACATTAGAAACAAATGAATTCTCTAAAGGCATGGCAGAGTATTGGCTAGTAAGACCTTTGTTCCATGCTCATTATATACGTAAAGGACCTTGCAACCCCTATGCTTAATTAACCAATTCAATACGGGCAATTTTACACCTTCCTGCCCAGGCCAGATGTATGCGCGGTCATACAACATTGTACCCAAACTAAAATTTTATCATTTTCTTCACACAATTAGAGCTTTCTTTTGGTGGTATTTAATCACCGCTGGGGTTTTTATTTTTTGCTAAATTAACAAAAAAAGACCAAAAATTTTGAAAAAAAAAAAAAATTTTTCTTTGTTTCTGTTAGAAAAGTTTGCAAATAAATAATTGTTCTTCATAAATTTAGGCCGAGATGTATTCTGCTACATGTCTTTGGTGAAAATACCCCCAAATTAGGATGTATTTTTTTAGTTTGTAAGAAAGTTATAGAGTTTACAAACTATGGTATAGATTTGCATATTGATCAATCCTGAAGTACTGACAGCCAATCTAATTTTTTTGCAAAGTAGACAGTCCAACGTACTTCATAAGAGGCATGGCGAGTTTTTTAAAGTTGTATTTTTTTTGTCATAATTTTTCTGAAAATTAAAAAAATTAGTTTCACTATTTTTTTTTTACATATTGTCACCAGTGCAGTACAGCGTCATCATATAACTGGCATGGTGGTGATCAGGGACACTGACTGGTGACAGTATGAAAAAAAAATATATATATATTTTTTTTTTTCTTTAATTATTTTTTATTAAATTTTTTTCTTTTTTTTCATATTTCACTATGACCAAAGTAGTACAATGTTACCATAGTAACATTGTACTACTTTGGGGAAGTGATCAGTATTTTTTTTTTTTACACAATTTGCTTATAGCAAAGAATTACTTTGCTATAAGCAAGCATTTACCTGTATGACATCGATTCATTCAGGGTTTTTTTTTTTTTTTGTGCTAAACTGTGATTTGGCCACAGCTAATCACATCACATGTGCATGTGATTAGCTTTGACCATTCACAGCTAGACACTAGTATACAATGGATGGCATGAATGAAGCCATCCATTGTATACAACTGTCATATGACCTGCTGTGATTGGTCACAGCAGGTCACATGGTACCGGCAACGGGGGGCCGATACTCAGATCTGTCATCGGCCGTGTCCGAGGTACACAGCCGGTGACAGATCGCGCCGCTCTGCAGGAGCGCAATCTGCGCATGTGCGGGAGGACGCCATATGGCGTCCACCCGGAACGCTGATGACATTTCCCACCCGCCATTCGGCCATAGGGCGGGCGGCAAATGGTTACGTTTTATGTCCTATTCAGAATTTGTCTGTATCTACTGCATACATATTTTTTTATCCAAAAACACTACAGGTTATCACAATTTTCACAAATGTATGTACTAAGTTTGCAAATTACACAGTCATGCCTTATAATAAATTCTTTATTCAAAAATACAAAGTCAAAATTGCAAATAATTTCTTCTATAGCAATGGGAGGCACTCTACCATCCCATTTATTTCAATCATCACTGGAGGTACAAGTCCAGAGTTAAAGCAGAGCTCCACCCAAAAGAGGAAGTTCCGCTTTAAGCCTTTGTCCCCCAGCTCCCCATTAAGGATTGGCACCTTTGGGGAGTGGAGGGGAGCGGGTACCAGAATTTGATAGGTAATTGCTCCCACTTCTGCTACGATCACCTAGGCGATTGGAAGCGGAAGTTTTCCTCCCCCTCTCCCTCCCCGTAGTCTTCTGGGACACCTGACAGGTCCCAGAAGACTACAGGGCCATTCACAAAGTGCAGTACTTCTCGCGCATGCACAGTGGGCACCCGGCTGTGAAGCCGCAAGTTGTCACAGCGTGGTGCCCACACTGAAGATGCCAGCACCAGGGAGAGAAGATGGCCGGTGAAACCACTGCTGGACTGAGGGACAGGTAAGTGGCTGTATTTGAAAAGTCAGCAGCTACAGTTTTTGTAGCTGCTGACTTTTATTTTTTTTCAGGTGGAACTCTGAGCTAAGTTTTACAGATAGTTAGATATGGTCATTATGGGGATTTACTAAAACCGGTGCACTCAGAATTTGGTGCAGCAGTGCTTGATAGCTAATCAATAAAACCTCTAGGCTATACGGAGCTGCACCAGATTTTTGCATGCTCTAGTTTTAGTAAATCTCCCCCCGATTTCTTGTACTGCAGCAAAGCATGAAAAGAAGAGTGGTACTATCAGAAACCTTCTGAAAGAAAAGCAGCTGGAAACCTGTGTATCACAGCATGGGTACAAAGAGTTTTTTTCGTTTAATCAGTACAGTTGTCATCCAAACATACAATACAAATACAATACAATACTTTACATCACTTTTGAATTTTGTTCTGTTATACAAGAATTTTCATAACTTTAGTAACCTCTACACTTTTGGCATGAGACTAGCATGCAAAAAAAAAAAACGGATGATCATTCGTCTGATATTTTCATCATGCATATGGGGCTTAAAGCTGAACTTTAGGCAAACATCTAAAAAACAAAATGAAATACAAATATGTGATTTACCTGGCAAAGGATTTGTATTTCTGAGATCTATATAGCTATGCCACATAGTGTAGCCCTGTCTGGCAGGGGCGGACTGACCATTTGGAAACTCGGGCACTGCCCGAGGTCAGTAGGGGGCCCCATGAGATGCCCCTGGTACCTTTTTCATAGGCTTTTTTGAGTTTGGGCAAGGACACAGGGGCCCAATGATCCCCTATTGCCTGGGGGCCCCATGAGTTGTCAGTCCGCCCCTGGGCAGGGCATGAGACCTGAGTTATCTGCTGCAGTTCAGAGTACTTTCAGGTTTGTCTCTTTCACAGCCTGTGACTGGACGGTGATGGAAAAGCCACAGATTGATGAGCTCATCACTTTCGCACTCTCCTCCTATCAGCATGCTCATGCACAGCAGCACAATTGACTGGCTGAACATAGATTGCAATGGGCTGATACCAAGTCAAACTCAGATACTTACACTGTTTGCCTTTAAACATGTATTACTGAATACAGAGCTACATTAATGTTCAGCTTTAATTCATGTAAACTAAATCCTGAATGCATGATGACATGCTGGATAATCTAAATCTACAATCTTATATTGAATATATTGTTATAATAACTATCCCTAGTAAAACTAAGAAAAATAATAAACTATACTTCAGGCTCAATAGGGGCCTTATCATATTTCACCATCACAAAAACGTTTGATTGTCTGATTAATACCATGAGCATTTTATACTAAGGGTGGTCTTTACATTTCAACATGAAACATTTTATATGTATGAACACATCCACATAAAATCTTTATCAATATCAACTCTGACAGTTCTCAACATAATAAAGACCTGTTTCTAAACTTAGTGCCAACACATTTGGTATTCATCTTGAGATAATGAATGTTTGTAAGGGTGGTCAAAATTGTTACTTGGCAGATGGTAATATCATGTCCTGATATCACTAAAGGAATGCATTTTACTGATTTGTAGGACAATCGTTAGTACAGAACATATACGGATAACGAAAACGCCCGTTTTTATACTACTAAATAGGGTAGCTGAGTACTGAAGGACTGTAATCACTGGAATCTAAAGGAAATATTGGCTACGCCTTGCTTGTGTACAAGGTCAGAAAGTCTGGTACCAGTACATAGATAAACTGCTGGACTGATCCTAGATTCTAAATGGTTGATTTAATAAAGGCACGTAGGCTGTTCACATCGCATGTTGTACAGTATGACAGGGAGGGGTCCTGGATAGGAGATATGTGACCCCTGTGTTTGGGGTGTTGTCCCTTTAAAGGGGACAAGAGAGAGCTGGAATACTCAAGGGACCCCCCATGCAGTATGAAGGGTTCCGAGGTGATCTGGTCGAGTGGGGAAAACTGATTTAGTTTTCCCAGGATTGTTAAGCCCTAATATGGGACCTGGAGTTCAGAGGCTTTTAGAGGTTTTAGTTGGGAAAGAGCCTCCAACCCTGACGACTGATACTTTGGTCCTAAAAGGGTTAATATACCTGCAAGAGAGGGATAAAAAAAGGTAGGGAGCAGCCTGTACGTGTAAATAAATACACTTTGATTAAAAAAAAACTAAAAAAAAAAACAATATATACCCCAATTTTTTTGTAATATATGAAAGAGGATGTTATGGCGAATAAATAGATACCCAACATGTCACCCTTTAAAATTGCACACACTTGTGGAATGGCGTGAAACTGCGGTACTTGACAATCTTCATGGGTGATGCTTTAAAAAAGGTTAGCAATGTAAAGTTACAGAGGAGGTCTAGTGCGAGAATTATTGCTCTTGCTCTGTCTGGCGATACCTCACATGTGTGTGTGAACATTTACATACGGGGGGATGAGGGCACCTTAAACTTTCTTTAAAAAATGTATTTAATGTTTTTTTTGGTGGGGTGGGGGGGTTTGCACTGTCCTTTAAAAAAAAAATGTAATCAATTTTATTCTTATCACAAGAAATGCTTGCATCCCTTGTGATAGAAATAATTAGTGACAGGTGGTCTTTATGGACAGATATAGGGTCAATAAGACCCCACATCTCTCCTGTGCAATGTAAAGCATTGGATAAAAAAAAAAGCATTGATCTAGTGCTTTAAAAAAAAAAATGGCCGGAACCAGAAGTGACATCGCTCCGGTCCTCCAAGGGCATAGAGATGAGTGAAGGCCATCTTTCCTTCACTCATCTCTATGCCCAGCACCGGGATCTTTCTATGGTTTCTCACGTAAGGCTGAGAACTGACGAGCAGCGGGTGGGCGGTGGCGAGGGGTGGGTGACGTTGAGGGCCAGGGTTTTTTTCAGCACCTGTATTGGTGCTTTTTTTTATTTTGGCCAATGGCCGAAAGGGGTGTTTGCGGCCGAAACGTTTCGGCCACCAAAATTTTGGTGCATCCCTACAATTTACACTTAAAGAAAACAACGGTGTCCTGTCTCTCCCCCTTAGCTTGCTGACTGGACGCTATAAGTACTAGACTGATAATCCCTCTGAATGCAAATTTATAGAGCATTGCTAAATGCTGATATTAAATCAAATTCTGGATTGTGCTGTATATCCCAAGAAGTTACCATTAAAAAAATTAAAATACTTGTTATAACTATTTTTATCTTTTGTTACTCATCTCCTTCCTGTTGATTTCTTGTAACCAGGGGCAGACTGACCATTTGGAAACTTGGGCACTGCCCGAGGGCCCGGGGTCAGTAGGGGGCCCCATGAGATGCCCCTGGTACCTTTTTCATAGGCTTTTTTTGAGTTTTGGCAAGGACACAGGGGCCCCATGATCCCCTATTGCCCGGGGGCCCCATGAGTTATCAGTCCGCCCCTGCTTGTAACCACTTCCTATGTACATGCGTGGACTGCAGCTATGGCTGCATTGCATTTCTCAGAGCAGGTTTACTGATGGTGGCAACAGTGGGCCATACCTGCATAGTGTTTATTAGTCACGGCCACTTGTTTTCACTGGAAGCTACTGTGAGAAGGTGACAATGCTGGAACACAGCTGGGAGACAGGGGTGGAGTGTTGTCACCCTATAAAAGTAAATGCCTCAACAAGGAACTTCATGGCAGGATGGCCATGTATTATTTTAGTGAAAGGTGAAGATTTAAAAATATGGAAAATGTCTTTTTAAAGGACATTATGATAGTAAATCTTACAAGAGTTTAGTTGGTACTGGGCCTAAATGCACATTATTTATTAATGTATTGACTAATACAAAGCTGTGTTAATTTGTGTCTTTTTTATCTGCCTGGAGTTCACCCTTGGGTCGTCTATGTGTCTGGTATAGCTCGGACAGCCACCTTTTTTCTTCACTGTTGCCAGGTTCCTTATACACAGGTATAACACGAGAGCTTTTATAATCTGTGTCAGAAATATGGAAGGAGCTGAGCAGGCTTGGAGAACTGCAGTACAATAACAATAAACAATTGCTCGTAGTCATTACCCTCTGTGTCAGTGTGTTGGCCTCCTTTTATTATGGTTTTAGAAACAGTTTTATATTTTATCCCTTCCTCTTTTTGGCTGTATCTCCATCACAAGCTATTTGTGGGAGAATTTGTTTTATGTACAAAGACCTAGCAAATCTTCTGATAGTATTCATTGATGTGGATTTTATAACACCCAAGACAGATTTTTCCAGCAGATTGCCAATTTTCTTCTAGGATAAGGCTGACATCATGTAAACATGTACAATGAATATGCCTATATTTTACATGTTTTCATATCTAAAATGTACATACAGTGGATATAAAAAGTCTACACATCCCTGTTAAATTGTCAGGTTTCTGTAATGTAAAAAATGAGACAAAGATAAATAATTTCAGAACTTTTTCTACCTTTAATGTGACCTATGAACTGTACAACCCAATTGAAAAACAAACTAAAATCTTTTGCGGGGAAGTAAACGTAAAAAACTAATATAATGTGGTTGCATAAGTGTGCACACCCTCTTATAACTAGGGATGTAGCTGTGTTCACAATTAAGCAATCACATTCAAAATCATGTTAAATAGGAGTCAGTGCACACCTGCTATAATTTAAAGTGCCTCTGATTAACCCCAAATAAAGTTCAGCTGTTCTAGTAGGTCTTTTCTGACATTTTCTTAGTTGCATCCTACAGCAAAAACCATGGTCCGCAGAGAGCTTCCAAAGCATCAGAGGGATCTCATTGTTAAAACGTATCAGTCAGGAGAAGGGTACAAAAGAATTTCCAAGGCATTAGATATACTATGGAACATAGTGAAGACAGTCATCATCAAGTGGAGAAAATATGGCGCAACAATGACATTGCCAAGAACTGGACGTCCCACCCAAAATAGATGAAAAGATAAGAAGATAACTGGTCTGGGAGGCTATCAAGAGGCCTACAGCAACATTAAAGGAGCTTCAGAAATATCTGGCAAGTACTGGCTGTGTGGTACATGTGACAACAATCTCCTGTATTCTTCATATGTCTGGGCTATGGGGTAGAGTGGCAAGACGGAAGCCTTTTCTTACAAAGAAAAACATTCAAGCCGGCTAAATTTTGCAAAAACACATCTGAAGTCTCCCAAAAGCATGTGGGAAAATGTGTTATGGTCTGACGAAACCAAGGTTGAACTTTTTGGCCAAAATTCCAAAAGATAACTTTGGCAAAAAAAAAAACACTGTACATCACCAAAAGAACACCATACCCACTGTGAAGCATGGTGGTGGCAGCATCATGCTTTGGCGCTGATTTTCTTCACCTGGAACTGGGGCCTTAGTCAAGGTAGAGGAAATTATGAACACTTCCAAATACCAGTCAATATTGGCACAAAACCTTCAGGCTTCTTCTAGAAAGCTGAACATGAAGAGGAATTTTATCTTTCATCATGACAACAACCCAAAGCATACATGCAAATCAACAAAGAAATGGCTTCACCAAAAAAAGATGAAAGTTTAGGAATGGCTCAGCCAGAGCCCAGACCTGAATCCGATCGAAAATCTGTGGGGTGAACTGAAGAGGGCTGTGCACAGGAGATGCCCTTGCAATCTGACAGATTTGGAGTGCTTCTGCAAGGAAGAGTGGGCAAATATTGCCAAGTCAAGATGTGCCATGCTGATAGACTCATACCCAAATGACTGAGTGCTGTAATAAAATCAAAAGGTGCTTCAACAAAGTATTAGTTTAAGGTTGTGCACACTTATGCAACCATATTATTTTAGTTTTTTATTTAAGGTGGACAAAGTTCTTAAAAGATTTATCTTTGTCTCATTTTATTTACATCACAGAAACCTGACATTTTAACAGGGGTGTGTAGACTTTTCATATCCACTGTATATACAACCAAAAACATAAATATTTAAAATTAAAAATTTAAATATTATCAGTTTAAACTAAGTTATACATAAATAAACACATACATATATTAGTGGCTAGGTACTTGAAGCAGAGTTGGAATGAGGTTGGAGTGTGAGGATCGCTGGAGCACGGTGAAGGATCACTAGAGCTGTACTGTATGTGTACTGAGGCACTGTTTGTAGTGAGGCACTGTGACCTGGGGGTACAGTGAGTGCTAAGGTAGTGTGGCTTGGGGCACTGAGGTAGTATGACTGGGGTACTGTGAGTACTGAAATATCATAACTGAGGCACTGTGAATTCTGAGGTAGTGTGACCCTAAAAAAGTTAGGTTCAGCGAGTACTGAGTTACTGTGACTTGGGGCATGGTGATTACTGAGTTATTGTGAACTCGGGTGCTCTGAGTACTAAGAGTACAGAGGGCCATGAAATCAGGGAGCAGAAGCAAGAGGAGAGGACACATAGGGCTGTGCAATCAGTGAGCAGAAGGAGAGGATGCCATGCGTCGTGTAATGAGTGAGCAGTTGGAGTTACTCCCTGGGCCGTGTGATCAGTGAGCAATTGGAGAGAACACCAGGGGCAATGAGCAGGAAGAAAGGACTGCAGGGGGCTATGTGAGCAGAAGGAAAAGACAATGGGTGCTGTGTGAGCAGGAGGAAAGGATGATGGAGGCCAGGTGACCAGTAAGTGAAAAGAGAGGATGCAGGGGCCAGCAAGCGGGAAGGAGAGGAAACTGGAGGCTCTATGATCAGTAAGTGGGAGCATGAGGAGAGGATGCCAGGGCCCAGGTGATTAGTGAGTGGGAGCAAAGGAAAAGACCAGAGAATGATAGCAGATGCCAAGGGCCTGGTGATCAGGAAAGGACACCGAAGTCTGTGCAATCAGTGAGCAGATGAGAGGACTGCGGGGGCCATGTGAGCAGCAGGAGAGGACAATGGGGGCTGTTGTGAGCAGGAGGAAACTATGATGGAGGCCAGGTGACCAGTAGGCCAAAAAAAAAGAGAAGACGCCAGGGGCTAAGTGACCAGCAAGAGTAAGAAGAGGAAGCCAGAGGCCGTATGCCAGGCGCAAGGTGATCAGTGAGTGGGAGCAAGAGGAAAAGACCAGAGAGTGGTAGCAGAAGTTGCAGATGCCAAGGGCCTGGTGATCAGTGAGCGGGAGCAGGAGGAGAGGACACTGACATCTGTGCAATCAGTAAGCAGATGGAGAGGCCACTGGAGGGCCATGTGATCAGTAAGCGGGATAAAGAGGAGAGGACACTGGAGGCTATGTAAAAACAAGCAGGAGGAGATGACAATGAGAGCCATGTGCTTAGTAAGCTGAAGCAGGAGGAAAGGACACCAGGGGCTATGTGATCAGTAAGCAGGAGCAGAAGGAAAGGGCATGGGGGGACATGTGATATGTGAGCAGAAGGAGAAAAAAACACCAGGGCCTTGTGATCAGTGACTAGGATCAGAAAGGAAGGACGCCAAAAGCCGTGTGATCAGTGAGCAGGAGATCCCAAACAGTAGGAAAATAACTTGTGCTTAGAAAAGAATAAGGTTAGGAAGGAAATATTAATAAACATATAAAATATAATTCCTAGTTTTTCCTGGATTGTGCCCATGAAAGTTAGTGGATAACATGTCCTCCTGGATTGGTGACATCCTGCACCATGTGTACGTTCCTTGAACCTTTCAAGGGTGAATCCTGCTGCACAAAATGTGAGCAAATGGTTTTCTTGGAAATTCAGATTCTGAATCTAAGGAAGCAGGTACACTAGAGAAGCAGCAGGAGCTGTGAGAACTTTATCCAAAACACTCCTTGCAGGAAGGAGGGTTTTGGGTTCCTGCAGAACGGGCTGCCTTTTCATTCAGTTGCTGGCTCTATAGCAGGGACAGACTGCACCTAAATGAGGACGGTACAGCTCTGTTGGGGGAGAAGATGATGAAAAAGTTAGGGAACTTAACTAGGTGGTGGGGGGAGGGATCAGAGGAAACTATCGCAGGCAGTGATTGAGGATCAGAGGGTGCTTCTGTGGTCCATGTTGGTAGCATAGCTAGAGTGCCTAAGATCACTGAGCATAGGCTGGCAGACTCCTATTGCAGCCTCAGTACACACAAGCAGAAAATAATATGCACCTGTACAAAATTAAAAGACATGTTCAGAAATGTTAGGAGTTTGGTGAATATATTTGGAACTACTGATACATGAGGAGGATTTCAACTTCATGGGAGTATCAAAAACCTGGTTTGGGAGCTCACATGACTGGCTTGTGATGGTCCAGGGGTACTCCCTGTATCAAAGAGACAAGGTAGGCAGAAGAGAGTGAATGATGTGCATAAATGTCAAGAGTGAGTTGCTAGTAAACACGAGGGATAACATTAGTAATGGGGCAAGAGAGGATGTGCAATCCTTGTGGCTTGAACTTCAAGAGAACAAAACAAATGGGAAATTAATATTAGGTGTATGCTACAGGCCCCCTAATCTGAAGGATGAAGAGGAAACCAATCTCCTTTCACAGGTAGAAATGGTGATGAGGCAGGACAATATTAATATCATGGGGGACTTCAGTTATCTGGATAGTGAATAGACAGATGGAACTGCTCACTGATCTAAGGCTCATCATTTCTTGAATGTCTTGAAGAATAA